TATACTTAATCAAACACATTGTAATTATATACGATATTTACTATTATAGCATTATATTATATCACATATATAGAATAATATATAATATAATATTTTAATTATAATTAATCATATCATATATTAAAAAACCAAAGTATTAAGAAAAAAATAATACCACATGTAACCTGTATTACGATAATATGCATTTAAGATTGCAGATAATATTTTTAGCATGTCAGGACCAAATAACCTCCCTTCCTCTTCTTAACTCTCGCCCTCAATTCTTACTCTCATATAATAGCATGCATAGAATGAAAATATCGTTTAATCATGCGCGTAACGACATTTTTATCCTAGGCAGATGTGGCTTGTGTGAAATAATGAGGAGAAACAGCACGAGAAAATTTAAAAAATACGAAAGTTAAAAGAATTAAAGTTACAGAGGTGCTAAAAGATAATAAGAATACGGAGGTTTCGATTGTATTCGACTGCAGTTTTATATAGGTATAAACCGCGATGTTTACTTTTGTAAACACTGTTTTTATGTTTAGTTTTGTAAATACTCCCTAGCTAGTTTTGAAAATATTTCTTACGGCTCGTGGATATGCGTGCAAAACAGTCGCATAGTCTGAGTGCCATTTTTGCATAGATGATAGCGACATAGTAATTTATAAGTGACTTTGTTAAACATATATGAAGGATATTTCCAGAATGTTTTTTATCATATTGAAAAATTATTTTTTAACGTGAGTCATATCGATAACGAGTTCAATATTTCTTTTTTCATGACTGAGGAATCCACAATATATGAAAGTGATGTATAATTATGTACTTTTGCAACGGCGACAAGAAATCGATTATATAATTAAAGATAATTAAATTAGATAATTAGTAATCTCCAATGTGATATATACATCACGAAGGTAATTTTGTCTATCAAGTTTACAAGTTTAGATCGGAGAGTTGTTCTTTCATAAGAACTGTGACGGAATGTCTGATTACTGCTATTGATTTTGACAGTTAGAATTATAATATGAATAACAAATTTATTTTTCAACATTTATTTTTAACAATTGAGGGAACGGATAAAAAAGTTAGATTTCACCTCCCTTTGTCTATATCAATTTTTAATTGTTAGTTTGATTTGTTATACGGATCAATTTTAATTAGTAGATAATCTTATGATCGAATAGTAAAAAGCAATTTAAATATATAAGAAAATAGTTTCTTTGAAATTAAAGAATTATTCTCTGAAATCAATTTAAAACTTCTTGGATATTTGCTAAATATTAATTTTTAAACGATTTTTTATGCATTTAAAAAAATCCTCCATTATCTCTTGCGTGAACAAAAATTAATAGTTGTAAAATTTGAATTAATTTTTATTATTCATTATCTTTTACGTATTACTGAAACGTATTAGAGATACGTATCAGTTTCTGCTTGTTCTTTCTAGAATGAAGTATTCGATAACTCTAAACTCTAAATTGTTACAAAGAGAATCGTAAATAGAAAGTCATGAAAATAATATTTTTGAATATCCTTCTATACAAGGGTTAATTATAGTTGGAAGTTAGTTACTGGAGAAAAAATTAGTTACAAAATATCTTTCAAATACTGACAATCCTCGTTGAACCAACCATAGTATAAAATCTCAATATAAATTCTGTCAATATTAGGAATATATAAAAATATAATAAAATATTTTAATCGAAATGCAAACATATATCGCTTCCTTACTTTAAAAGCGACACAACTAAAAAAATTAAGTTTCCCAGAAAAAAAGAAAACTATTTTTCAAACTATTTTTGATTGAAAATTGTTAATTAAAAATCAAATAATATTAACAAAAATATATTCTTAATATAATCAAATGTCATTTTTATTATTTTTGCTTTACAATCCTAAAAAACTTTTTTTAGCCACATTATGATTTTTTTTAAGTAACCATTTTTTAATTATAATAATTTTGAAGATTTTTTTATAAAGTTTAATTAGTTCACTTTTGATAATTAGGTAATGTTTATTTAACCAATTCATGATAAAAACTTGAAAATCACATTTTTTAAGTAAAGAAACGATATTTGAAGAAAAAGAAACTTTGAAGTTACAGCCTTAATAATACGTAAGTTATTTGAATTATTTTTGTTCTTATAAAACGAAAACGTCTTGACTAGTTATCAATTGCTGCACGTATATACAATTTCTAGTAGAATTTTAGCTGCTTCGTAAACTTGCATCTTACAATTTAAGAATTCTAAATTTGCCTTCTTTTACAGTTCTCTTCTATAATATATCATTATTTGTGATGTACGACATTTAAATTAGAACTGCCGAAAGAGAGAACAATCTTCATAATAAATACTATCTCGCTCGTAACTCTTCCCATCAACTAATTGTTTAGATGTTTATTGACAGAATTTATAATTGTGTATGGTATCCTTCTGTATGGAAACCTATAAATCTTTTAGAAAATTCCTCGGAAGAAAGTGGCACATCATCGCGGGACCATTTTAATAAAAATAAATAGACCATCTATTATTTTTTGCTTTTGTTCACACTTGAATAATGATCTCGTACGTCTTCCAATTATCTTACGTGGAATTGTATCTGTATCGTGTTCCTGCGATTATACACATGTCTTCACAGAAAAATTGTATTCGAAATAAAGAAAGATCTTATGACACACGTGTGAATATTTATATTTTACCATCTTCACATAATACATATTGTTTATTTTATTTTCTTCGTAACATTATATATTAAGTCTGTTTTTATTCCTGCACACTAGAGCTCTCTTTCTCGCTTTTGCCAAATATCAAACATATTCCTATATCACTTTAAGTTTCAAAGGTATATACTACTTCAGCCACAGAAAACATCAGACTTATTATTAGATATTTTGAATATATATAAAGGGAACTTCCTTTTATTTTATGCATTCATACTGACACTTTTAAACTGGCTTGTGCATCTTAAATAAAATTGATGAGTCCCCGATTCTAATCGGAAAAAAATCGGAAAACAAAAAAAATTGAAATGGAGGAGAAAAAATATAATGGTTTACTTTCAATACAATCTTAATGGTTATCCTGTAATATTGTATATATATCTGTATATCATTAGATGTTTATAGCGTTAAACGTATAATGATAAAGGGAAGTTCCATATCAAAAGCCTTTTAAAACATTTCAAAATTCTGAAATGTTCCTTTTTAAATCATATATATAACCTTATTTCAAACGTTGAATTACTTCGAGACAAGCAATAAACGATTGCCGCGCGGTCTTGGCTTTGATAATTATCGTTATTGCGATGCACTGTGCGTTCTGTTGCGTTTACGAAATCGTCACTTAAATCACATTTAAGCAAGTTATTCAAGCAAACAAATTATATTGCATGTTTCGTGTATCGCGCGATGTTATGCGTATAGCAATAAGTAACAGCTACTTCACGAAGCACTTTTTCATGTGGTACTCTTTTACTAAATACATATGAACGAGATAGATTAATTCATCAATCAATTTAGCCAACAATTAATACTTTCTTAAATATTAATCTTAAATAGTGTTTTTTATAAGATTATTTGTATTTTATATGAAGACTTTTGAAGTGTAATTAAACAGGTTTGAATGTGTTATCATTTAGATTACATCGATCTATGACGATTAATTACGTACGTAGTCCAAAAAGAATTAATTAGAATATGTTATCTAGATGATAAAATATTCTAATTAATTAACTATTTTTACGTAATTTTAACCATAAATTAATTAAATAAAATTTTTGTATAAAATTAATTATAATTTTTATATGAAGAATTTTTAAATGTATATATATATATATATAATTAGAAATATATATATTTGAGTTATTTGTGAATAACTTTAAATCAAACATTTTTGAACTACTATTGTGTAACTAGCTGCTATATCGACTAAGTTTACTTGAATATGGCTAAGTAGTTCAATGTATAGACACTCAATGTTCAGATATGTGTTTTGTGCATATCGAGGCGCTAGTGGACGAATTCCATATGGATAAAATACGAGCAATACAAGTCTCAAGCTTTTCTCTATCTGTGATTTAACCTTGATTGACATATAATTTGTGATGTAAGAATATAATAAGGTGTATTATTATTCATAATAGTGATAGAATAACAAAACAACCCAAACGAACAATTGATTAAATTTTGATCGTCACTGGAACAAATATTTTTTATTGACTCACCATGTTGAACGCGCGATTACGCATGCTCTAGAATGATGTTTCTTTTATTTTTTACATTTTAGATCATGATACATTCCATAATAATATATATATAGATTGTGATAATATGTTATAAATATATTTAACATATAGATTAATTTGTTACAAAATTCAAATAAAAAAATAAATATTAATATTTATTTTCTTTCCATAATTGATAATAAAATACACTTTAATTCGAAAATTTATACATAAAATCTTATCGATTGTTAGATGTTGAAGCTATATTCTATAAATCGTGCCATTAATACAAAAATTACTTGGAATAATTGAAATTATTTTAATATATTCTATAAGTTAGACCATTTTTAATAAGACTTGTTAGATGAAAAAATTTTATTGAAAATACTATACTTTTGTATTAGATTGTGACTCCGACATATATTTATATTTTTAAAATTCAAAATTAATCGCGCATCATATGCTATGCATCAAAAGCATAAGATTATATATTTTTTAATGTTTGTTAACTTGCTGAGGATGACTCAAAATTGAGTCAAAAAAGTCCAGTTTTATATATTAAATTTAACTTTATTTATTAATGTACATTGCATAATGAAACCGTGTTAGATTCTCTCAGTCCTTAATTCTTTCTTATTATTACTTTTGTTTAATCTCTCAGATATATTCTAAATATCTAATAATAATTAATTAATCAAAAAACATTACAATCAAAATCTATCACAAACATTTTGCAAAATATCTATACAATGATAACTCAGAAGATAATGGTATCGAATGATTAGATAATTGGCACTGTGATTTCACCACAGAATAGTGTTGCTATCAAAACCATGAACTATTTTTTCTGAAATAGATTATCATACCATGCGTACTTTCCGGTGATAGCTACACAGGAAGGATCATTATATGTTATAATTTATTATCAGAAAACTGAAATATAACCATGAAATGCAGTAACAGCATATCAGAAACCACTGAGATGGCAAGCAACGATGAAGCAAGAGAATTACTGCCTTTTAATACATTGGCAGAATTATATGATACTTTGGATAGTAGATTAATAGAATTACCATTGGTATATATCACAGAATCAGTGGACTATGTGTACCGAGGTTCAGATATTGTTTCACAGAAAGTTCCATTGGAACGAGTGGATAGAGCTGAACAACCCAGAACGCTAGTCTGTCACGATATGAAAGGTGGTTATCTCGAAGACAGGTAATTTTACAAAATATCTCAATTAAAATAAGTGCATACGTGAGTTATAATCATATCTGTATTTGTTTTATATTTACAGATTCCTACAAGGTTCCACCTCTTATGATTCTTATGTATTTTATCACTGGAGTATTATCGATGCATTTGTTTATTTTAGTCACCACTTTGTGACTATCCCACCTTACGGATGGATCACTGCGGCTCATCACCACGGTGTAAAAGTTTTGGGTACTGTGATCACGGAAGGGAATAATGATACCTGGGATACAATTCTTGCGTCGGAAGAAGATGCAAGAAAATTTGCAGACGCTCTAGTAATAATTGCAAAAAGTTATCAATTTGAAGGCTGGCTTTTGAATATTGAAAATAAGATTAAGCAAGAAGATATTAATAATTTAATTTATTTCATTAAATACCTAACAGAAACTATTCACAATGAGATTGAAGATTCGGAAATTATCTGGTACGATAGTGTGACCAATAAAGGTGGATTAAATTGGCAAAATGAACTCAATGATAATAACAAGTAATAGTCTTTATAAATCAATATTTTAGTTCTATCAATACGATTTAATAATTATTATTTATGTTTTAGAGAATTTTTCCTGCACTGCGATGGTATATTCTTAAATTATACTTGGACAAAATCGCGATTGAGCAACAGTCGTCTACTTGCAAGGGAATTAGGTCGCGATATTAAGGATATTTATGTTGGATTAGATGTTTGGGGAAGAGGATGTCCAGGCGGAGGTGGCTTTAACTCAGTATATGTAAATATTTCTATTTTAGCATATGTAAAAACTTCTGTTTTTATTACATATTACAAATCTGTCATTACTTTATAATATCTTTTGCGGTAAATAAGTACTCAAATAAGAAAATATATATATATATTTATTTTTAAAGGCATTAAATTTGATACGGGAACAAGGGCTTTCAGTTGCTATATTCGCTCCTGGATGGACACACGAGTACTTTGGTCCAAGTACTTTTCTAATTCTAGAAGATTTATTCTGGGCTCAATTATTTCCTTATTTATATGTGCATGTACCTATTTTTGAAAATGACACATTTAAAACTTCCTTCTGTCGAGGTGCTGGTATCTGCTATTATTATAATGGCGAGGTAAATTTAAATAATAAATAAGATATTTTATTTAATTAATTAAAAGTGTTAAACATTTTTGTTAAAATGTTTATGGTATTTAAAATTAATTTATATCTGCATGCGTGTTTGTTTAGGAACATTTTGAACCGTACACGATAAACGGCGAAAGCACGCCCGAGAAAAAAGCATTTTACAATTTACGTATGCAACAACTACAATTGGCAATTCCTGTGCCACATTTGCAATTTACACGATCGACACAACGAATTCTTATTGGAGATGTTGAAGATAAAAATAATGAAAGTAATGAAACTTGTGAGAAGAAAGAAAACCGAATAGAACGTATCTTCGAAAATAGAAAGAACATTATACGAGTGTGTGGTAACTTAGTCAAGTTTGAAGACAAATTATCTGCCGTCGATATCAATACTTTCGAGTTTTGCGATCAATTCTCTTACAATGGTGGTGGATGCTTAAAGCTGATTACTAGAGATCATAGATTATATCACAGGTAAAAATATATCTATTGAAGAATAATAATTTGTAAAAAAATATGTTGTTAGTGTTACAATATAATAATCGCCAATATTGTCAATGATTATCAATAATTAACGTTATATATATTGTTATAGATTATTCTTAGTTCACATCGATTTGAAGCAAAACATCCAGGCGACCGTCATTTATGCAGAACCCGAAATCATCATCTCATCGAACAAGTCTAACAAAAATCCTATTTTAATTTTGGGTAATAATGGTAATTTAAAATCGATCCTGCCGTATGATTCGATTAGAATGAACGCCAAATGGAGAAAATGGTAAGCTAAATGAATCACCGATCATGAATTAGATTTGACGATAATTGTTGGTTTTACAATTAATTGTGCTTTTTATAGCATCTATCTGACAAACTTAAGGACTGTGGATGAGATTGGTGTATCCTTCCTAACAGAATACGATTGTTACATAGGCGAAATCATTTTGGAACAAAAGAATCGTCATTTTGGTAAGTACGAAAGTTTCGCAACCAACTTTACAGTTACATTAAGATTCTGTGTAAGAGGTAGACAGTTGCGCATTACAAACTGATTACGTCATGATAAAAGCATATCACACAGTCCTTGATTGCACGTAGACCGACCGCTCCTAGCGATTACACCTTATACACCCTTCCTCCTGCTCCTTCTTCTTCTCGTTTCTCTTGATTAAGAGCTGCTTGGGTGAAAGGCGCGTACAAACTGTTCCACGATAGACCAATCGTTCAATTTTATAGACGCCCAACCATTCTACATTCCATCGAGGGATCAGGTGTGAATTTATATTGCGGCTGAAAAATTCCTCGACAATGTCATTAAGAAAAAAACAAAATTACTCGCTTGGCAAGCTCGATTAGCATTTATCGGTATTTCAATAACGAAGACACCTTCAACATCTTTAACACCTCATATATGTCCCAATGAGACTTCTATTACAAGGATATCTGCATTCTTCGATAGCAAAGTGCATTCCGTAGTGACACGGCGGATGCAAATTCCGTTACAGCAATTTAAAGACGCGACCGATTTATTACACCGGATATTACAAATCATTTGCACGCTCACACGTTAAAATGAAAGGTATTTGTGTCCAAAGGTGGATATGCAACCACGCGTATTTGTTATTCACACACTGATATACGTATTGTAATCAATATGCCACCTACTGCCGAGAAGATGACACGTACATACATTAATTGCATTGAGACTCCTCGCTGTTATGCCATTAAGTCACCGACACTTTCTAGCTTTACTCAATCAACAACGTGCATGCACACAATGTTCTTACTTACTTTTTTAAATCTATTGTAAAATTTTGAGTCGATTTCCTCTAGTTTCAAAAATTTAAGAATATATTAGAAATATTATCCTTTTATATATATATATATATATAAAATGCATAATGCATCTATTTGATCGACGAAACGTTAGTTCTGCCTCTTCGAACGTCTTGTAGTGTTTGAAATATATTGAATAGAAATATATTAAATACATTAATTAATTTACACTACTTAACAAAAACTGGGGAACTTTTTGCTCAAAATTACACAATTTTCAGATTATCGAAACTCAGTAAAAACAGCTCACAATTGTCAATGTCTTAACAAAGATTACAATATTATGTTCCTTAAAATTATGTACATTCAACAGTCTGGAACATGATAAATTTTTTATTGTTTTGTCTATAATAAATTTTCATCGAGTTTCGATTATTTGAAAATTGTACAACTTTGAGCATTTTGAAAGTGTTTCTCATTTTTTTATGAGTAATGAATTTTAATGTATATACACACACACACACACACACACACTTATTCTCTCTCTCTCTCTCTCTCTCTATTTCTCTAATGCTAGTTTCTTCACTTCCAGATAAGTTGCGAATAACCTTATCCAGGAGATATCTCCATTGTATTCTCTTGGATAAAGTTATCTAGAGGTGAAGAAACTGGGCATTAGATATGCTTTTAAAAAGAATACATTCTTATATTTTAAAATATGTGTGTTTATATTTTAATTGTTTCTGGTATACTCTCTGAATACTTTTCGCTTTTCTCAAGCACGCACCCACGTTGATGTATACAATAGAAAGGGAGAAAAGTGTTTACTTATGAGAAAGACTGCCGCAAAACATTATATCGGGGGGATCGATCCCGTTTGCTTATGAATCGATTGCTTACAGTATCGTTTGCTTAGGCAATAGTACATGTAGGCAAATGTGATTTCGTCTCTGGAAATTTTATTTGTGCGCAAAGTGCTTGTAGGCAATCGAGCTGTAGGCAATAATTTTTGTGCGCAAACGAACTGTCGGCAAAAGAAGCCATCTCTATCGAATCTATCTAAAATGAAAAGATTTAATTTACTTGGGGTTTCCTTCATGATTTGATTTATTTCTCATGCTTTAAAATTATATTTATTATTATTTTTATTAAAGATGGTTAGACAAAAAAATATAGGCAAAAAACCTTGAGGAGAGAAATGTATGTATATACTTGATACATTTTTTTCTCTTACATTTTTTATGTGCATTAAGTATTCAGCAATTTCTCTGATAACAATTTATGCTGTATAAGATCAATGTAGCAGACTATGCATTGAAGATTGAGATTGAAGATTGAAATTTGTGATCAATCAAAGCAAAAGAAGTTAAAATTTCATTATCTTCATTGATCAAATTTTAATCTTCAATCTTAATCTTCAATGCGTAGTCTGATTCCGGCCTAAGAGTTTAATTTATACTTGTATGATTTTTTTTATCATATAAAGTGAAATTATGTCACACCGTATGAATGATTTAACGATTAATGAAAAGTTTAGAAAATAAAATTAGTAAAAAATATTTTTTAATCAAAATAATTAAGAAGATCGATATTAATAGCGTTACTCTTTTAATGATTTGCTAAAGGAAGCAGGAAGAGATACGTATCAAGGAACATCCGTTATTTTCTTCCGGTGTTAGGTCTATTTCTGTAAACCGAGAGTTTCTTCCTAGATCAATAATTTATAAATGAATTATTTACTAGAGGTGAAGTGACCGTAACGTTTCCACTGATTATTCGGCGTGTATCGACCGCTGTTCTACAAAAAAGTATTATTCATGGTATATTGCGTTACAAGCGCATTATTTGTACCGGTACCGGCTTTAATCACTAATACTTCTTCCTGGGGGTCCGCTTAATGATGCATTTTTTAACGCTTCAGGTAATTTAGCGAATTATTACGTAAAGAAAATTAATTCATGTTTTTTAATTTATTATTCAGTTACACAGACAAATTCGTTGGAGAAAAAAAGTATTTTTTTAATCTTTTATATATTATCCATATTTGATATTATTGTTACTGATCCGTTAGCATAGATAAGATAGCGGTTTTCTTAAATGGCTGTATAGAGAAAAAGGTCAGATTATTTCATCGTTTAGGAATGCTTGGTTGCAAACAATCCTTTATTGCTATGTTTAATGACTTCTATTGCTTTTTTTAGATCTTTCTTTAGCTTAAATTTTTTTTAGATTTTTTATCGTAAACCATGAGATCAATTTACAAAAAAGAAATCGAAGGATGGACAAAATTATACTGGCTTTCGCATATTATCGAGAAAATTATACGCGGCAACATTTGTTTCTGATAGGCACTATTATAATTTTTTGCGCTTATTTTGTTATTATCCCGGAGGCGGAGAAAACTTTATCATGTCTTGTGTCTACTTTATATCCTATATACCTTAAATGTATGTTAATGCTTATATTTATTTAAAGAAATACAAGAAAAATGATTTAAACATTTTAGAAAAATACTTATATAATAAGAGAATAATTTAAATAAATATATAATAAATATTATTATAATATTAATAATTATTACTTAAAGTGTATTAAATTAGATATAGGCATACAACCTTTTTTGTAGCAGAGAAAGAACTAAAAATCATAGAAGAAAATTAATAAAGTAACGTAGATTAGCTTTCATTTATTTAAAGTTAGTTGATAATTTTACAAATGACTACGAATAATTTGAAAAATTGAGAAAAGCGGAACCTATTTTAGAAAGGATGGTGATCACGCTGATAGAACGATCTTACGTGTAGAGCAAGTGGGCTTCTAGAATATGTACAAGATGACTTTGTAATATACGACCGCAGCTCGTCGTGACAAAATTGAATTGTCGATCAGTGTAAGTTGAATGTCGAAAACTTTCTCTCGTGGCATGTACCATATGCGCATATTGTACTATGTACAAGTAGGCAAGGTGCGCACGAAAAATTGATTTTATAGTATTTGTCGTACTTTCTATAAGTCCATATAGGGTCTTGCTTATTAAATACACTAGAATAAAAATTATCTAATTAATAATAATGAGAAAGAAGAGCTACGAGCCAAACAATAACCTTTTAATGTTCGAAGAATAGTACAAACATATATTTTGACGCCGATCGGGTCATTATCAATAAAACTATTTTAATACAATGGATTATCGACTAATAGACAGTAAATTATTTTAATCTTTTTAATATCTTTATTTTTATTCTTACTTATAACCGTTAAAGAATGTCACTTGTTCAAATTTTATATTTATGTTTATTATATTGATAATGACCCGATCGGCGTCGAAATATATGTTTGTACTGTTCTTCGAACATTAAAAGGTTATTGTTTGGCTCGTAGCCCTTCTTTTTTATTATTATTAATTTTATTTTATTTTGAGCCATATATTATTATTTATATATAAAAATTATCTAAGCGCGGCGTTCATCGGATTTTTGTTGCGTTATAACCGCGTTTCTATCTAATTAAGATAAATCCTTCAAGGGTGAGAAAAAAATTTCTTATTAGGAGTATTATTGGTCGGATAATTGACAATTGCTAGTAATCTATTTTAATAACTGTGAGAAAAATTCTTTTGACCAATACAGTAATCTCTCTTTTTCCTAATTCCCACGTAATTACGTATGCAATTATACTGACGTAGGGGATTGTTGTTCGAGAAAGAAGATGATTAAGTCTTAAGCATTTTATATTCACTATTACTTTCTGTAATATATGACTACCGTGAAAATGGCGCTTGTTGAGTTGATAGTAAAAGCAAGCATAATTTACGTATCAATATTACTGAAATGAGTCATGGTAATCCGATAGAGAGATAATTTGATCCAAATGATTTTGACCCTAATTTTGTTCAATTTTTATTCACGATTAAGTGATTCTTAAATATTATTGAAACTTTTCAATTTTTAAATATTTTTTATCTATTTTAATCAGATTATTCTCTTTTGTAATTCAATATTAGATAATAAATTTATAATTCTCTCAATTATCGATGTTTCAAATTATCTATACGTAAATATTTTTTATGCATAAAACAATATACGAACCATATACGATAAAAAAATTATCGAATGTTTAATATAAAAGAAATAATTGATTGTTTACAGTAAAAAAGTATCCGAAAAAAAAAAATAATTCTTGCAGTTTTTATA